TGTCCCGCGCTACCGTCTCGCCAGCAAGAACGACGCAGAACACTCGGATCCTTCTGCAGTAAAGCTTTAATGCATCTTGAGAGATAGATGATCAGCTTCTTAGAGGGAGACCCCAAGCTAAGAAACCCAGCCCCTTATATAAGCCTAGGAGCTCCGAGTGAGATGTGTAGAGCCGGGATTGGTGGTTTGCACATCACCCCAGATGACGTCACGGGAGAGGCACAGTTTAAACGGTTAACTCCAACTGACAGCGACAGTTAACTCCAACTGACAGCGACAGTTAACTCCAACTGACAGCGACAGTTAACTCCAACTGACAGCGACAGTTAACTCCAACTGACAGTGGATGTCAGCGCCATCTTCTAACGGCAATAGCGATAGCGAGGGCGGCTCCTCACATCTCCCCCTATTCATTTATTTTTGAAGCAATAGGACACCCACAACTTTGGAGTGGAGATAGAGGTCAAATCCCCATGTGCAAATTCGGAACATGTACAAAGCTCCTCTCCAGGGTCTTATCCCCAGAGGAAGTCCTGACCAGTCCGATGTCTTTTTTCTGGGGGAAGGAGATCATGACATAGAACCTTCATGCAAGATGACTTATCTCCCAGGAGAAAGTCGTTATACCGCAGACCTCTCCTGTGCAGTGCTTAGCCTTGCAACTCCTTGGGCTGCTGAAGCCTACCCACTCTATCCCGTGCAATGAGACTAGCCTCGTGGGGTGCAAGAGCTGGGAGGCCAGCGACCTATTGCTTTAACATGGTTAACCAAATGTCAGGGGATGCTCCGTGTTCTAAGGCAGCAAGTGCTTGTGCCACCACCACTTTCTCCTTTTGTTTGGGCTCTGAGCGTACACACCATCCAAAGCATCAACACTATTCCACAGCAGAGAACTAGGCTAAATGATCCTACCCCCACCCATTCCTTAAAATAAGAAAATGCAGATGAAATCCAGGGGAGAGGTCTTCCATCAGAGAAAGATCCAGATGCGTCGAATTCACTTGCAGGATCGCCATTCTCAACTCACGGAGTGTCTGCTCAAACTCAAAAGTCCAATTCTGTAATAAATGTTGAGACAGAGCTTTTGACAGGTTAGCTGCTCTTGTAAAATTCTCATATTGTACTAAGTGACACAAAGGCCAGGCAACTTTGTTCACATCCCAATTTGGCCATCTGCCACAATATATCCAATTGTTCCTGAACCAAATTAATCTGTTGGTTTACCAACATCAGGCCTCCTTGTATCTGAGAATTGGCAGTGGCCTGTTTATCTAGGACCATGGTCACAGTGGCCTATAGTTCATTAATGGTTTGAGTTGTCTGCACAGTGGCAGAAAGTGCAAGGGCCGAGGCGGTAACCGAAGCAGTAACCGCGGCGGTGGCTATCAGGCCCACAATAATAGCAGAGATCCCAAAAATCTCGCTTTTCCCTAAACAAACTCAAATTACTTGGCGCCTCAACAGGAGCTGGAATAAATCGAGGCATGCGCATTACCAAAGCAAAAGGGTGCTTAATAGCATCCCAGCATAATGCATAAAAACAATTCTAAGCAGAACAATTTATTTCTTTCTGATTCTTACCTAAGGTATCATTACTCACAACCCAAATAAAGGGCAGCTGAATAATTAGTTCTCTTAAAAGGGGTATACTTAACATTGGAGGAGGACCAATCAGATGATCCAGAGCTCTGTCCCTCACTCAGACTGTTGCCTAATGCCCCTTTCCAATCAAAAGTAATCTGTCCCTTCTCACTATCATAGGAGAAAGATCAGTACAGCTTCCATTAATTCAAAAGGATTAGCATTAGATCTTTCTGGATCCATATGAATAAAATTATCCTTTAATGAAGAAATCACAGTAAAGCACAAGCTTCCTACTAATGACAAGGTTCTCTCATCCTGAAAACTCTGTATCTGAGGATCTAAAGGCAAAAAGGCAAGCCCCAACTCTCTATTATTTGTGAAAAATCTAGGGAACACCTGGGCATTCTGCATCACTGGCATCGGTAGGGGAAGGTAGACATGATGGCCCACCGTAACTCTCCCATCATACTAGGAACCATCATCCCGAGTAGGAGAGTCTTCATCACCCACTTGGCCTCCATCCTTCTTATTCTGGAGTTGTGAAGGAGCTCTTCGAGTGAGTCTTTCAGGGATCCACAGGGGGTTTTCTTCCTCCTGTGGAAAAACACACACAGCTCCCCTGGATCTTATAAGAATAGGATCCGGGCCTTTCCAGAGATCAGTCAAGACATCTTTCCATTTTACCATTTCTTTTGGCCTATCAGGCTCTAAACTGTGGCGATCAGCCGCAGTGTGGCCTTGGGCATCACAGTTCAAGAAATTAAGGGTAAAAAGTGCCATGGATACAGCAACTCTTGGTACCGAGGGTAGAACATCCTCAATACTCCCCTTTTGTTTAATCAGATATGATTTGAGTGTACGATGGGCACGTTCCACAATGCCCTGTCCTTGAGGGTTATAAGGTAGGCCAGTTAGATGGGTAACATCCATTTGCCGACAAAACTGTCGGAATTTTTGAGAGGTATATGCTGGTCCATTGTCTGTTTTTAAAATTCTGGGTTTTCCCCAAGCACTCCAGGCCTCAAGGCAATGTTGAATCACATATGAGGCCTTTTCCCCTGTTAGGGGTGTGGCAAACATTACGCCAGAACAGGTGTCAACAGAAACATGAACATATTGAAGCCTTCCAAAAGAGGGAATATGAGTAACATCCATCTGCCACATCTGCAATGGTCTAATGCCACGTGGGTTTATTCCCATGTGGGGAGTAGGTAAGAATTCGCAGCAATTCTGGCATTGAGTAACAATTTCCCTAGCCTCTTTCCTGGATAGAGCAAAACGACGGCGCAAGGTCTCAGCCGTCACATGAAAGCGCTTATGGAATTCTTTTGCTGCTTGTGCATGGGTAGACAAGGCAGCGGCCACCAGCTTTGTAGCCTTGTCCGCTAAGTCATTCCCTAAGGACATGGGACCTGGGAGTCCAGAATGTGCTCGGACATGGGTAATGAAAACAGGAAATCTCCTATTTAACAAGGCAGCTTGTATCTTCTGAAAGATGTTAGCAACTCTGCTGGAGGATCTTATTATTCCAGCTATCTCAAGGAGATTAACTGCATTAACCACATAAGAGGAATCTGATACAATATTGAGGGGTCCTGGAAAAGCCTCAAGAACCTCCAGTACTATCAGACATTCTACAACTTGAGGTGAAGTTTCATTATATTGTTTAGATATAACCCTATCCTTGACCACATAAGCTCCCATACCAGTTTTTGATCCATCAGTGTACACCACAGTCCCATCTGGGAGTGGGTCTTTAGCTGTCACTTGTGGAAACACTATAGCCTGGTTTAGGGCAAACTGTAAAATTGGATGCTTTGGAAAATGATTATCAATTTGTCCTGAAAAGGAAGTAACTAAAACTGCCCAATCACTAGATGTGGCTGCCAAGGTCTGAACTTGTGCAGCAGTATAAGGCACAATCAAGGAATCAGGATCCCTGCCAAAATGTGTAACAGCTGCTTTTATTCCGCGAAGCGCGAGCTGTGCAACAGCATCAGGGTACCAGTCAATAATCTTAGCAGGGGAAGCATTTGGATGAATCCAAAGTAATGGTCCATGTTGCCACAGGACTGCAGTTGGCAATTGAGCTG